TCTCAAAGTCGCCCGGTAATACTACAATCAGCTCATTTGAAGAACATTTAGTACTTATGACCTACATCATACATCCTATTCTGGCAGAGATAAGTGTGCGCTACGAATCATAGAAAACGTTTGTATACGACTTTTAGAGAAATTTCTTACACATACGTATACTAGTATGGAAGCTATATCTAATAAACAATAACAGCTTTTTGGTATAATAGTCAACACCAGTTAGGGGAACGATGTGAAGAAAATCTTTTTGTCATCATTTTATAATGAAAATACACATTAGATATTAATCGTAGAGTGTAAATACCATTCGCTCATATGTACGAAGGCAAGGTATAAACACTACACGTCGTGAATACTAAGATTTAAATTCTACAGAAGTATTATTAAATAGTTTTCAATAACTTTTATACGAACATTTACATATTTTTCTTGAACATTTGCAGACAGCGTTCCCTAATATTAAATTTGGTGTAAAACCTTACTTACATTCATGTCAGTGCTGTTGCTTCATGCATCAAAATAACTGACATATTTAACTATATGATCAAAAAAATTTTGAAAATGGAAGAGTGCTTCAGGATCGATACGGTATCCAATAACAGATGATTGAAACATAAATGTTTATCACAATAAAACTCGGTAGGTTCGATGCGAAATAGCTATCGATTTTATATCTGTATTTATTACTAGCGTTCATACAATTAGAAATATAATCTAGAAAATATTCACCGAGAATACATATTCTCTTTTGATAACGATATTCGTTCACAAATGGAACTGTCTTCAATCACTGCAGGTAATAATTAATCTAAATGAAATATGTTGGAATATTTATCTAGATCATGAAAACGGACGATAAAAATAAACTTTATTCGTCACGTCTGGATAATCACTGTCGAACTTATTAACGAAGATGACTTCCACTGTATGTTAGTGGAACTATTAGCAGTATTTTCTATATATAGCGACGTAGCGAACATCTGCATGGGAAAGGAAGGAATTTTCAACGTTTAAGTGATTAAAAAACCGAAAAAGATACAATGACATACAAATTATCCTTTCTTCTGTCATCGATTTTTGTATTGGTTACATATAAAAATAAAGTAATAAGTAATCAGAACTAAAAACTATATATCTTCTATTGCACAAATTATACATTATTTTTAAGAATCTTATTATAGACAAAAAAAATTGAGAAAAAATCATCATGTTTCGTGCTAATACGGAAACTGAAGTTGGAAATACATATTAAATTATCAAAAAGAAATAAAATATATATATAAATAGAAACATACTCTATTAATCTACAAATACACATTTTCATCCATTTAGAATGGTAATCTTTTCATGACAGTATCAATATCCACATCTGTAGGCAAGCCGCCAAATATCATGCCTCGATCAGGTCCCAGTCTTGATGAGCAAAATGCATCACTAACAGCATTTGGTGAATTTCGTACAAGAAGTGATGCTTGTAAACATAAAGCTAAATTCGTGGCTACTGTTCGTGCATTTTGTTCAATATTATCATTTACTGATAATTTTTTCTCAAGTTGTTCTAATGCACGATCAAGATATTTATTGACACCTTTTGCTTCACTGACAAATGTCAAAAAAGATTGTAACGTTTCCGGTGATTTTTTCATCGCACGAATTATATCCAGACAAATAACATTACCACTGCCTTCCCTTTAAAGAAAAAATAACAACTGAAATATGAACAAATCAACTCGTAATACATTACTCTTTACTTACCATATACTATTCAATGGTGCTTCTCTGTATAATCTCGGCATCATTGATTCTTCAACAAATCCAGCGCCTCCCAAACATTCTAATGCTTCATATGTCGTTTCCGGTGTTCGTTTACAAATCCAAAATTTGGCGATGGCTGTTGCAATGCGTGTGAATGCTTTTGTTTCAGCTACATTATTCGTTTGTGTATTATTGTACGTTGCATCATAGGCTGATGCCAAATACATTACTAATGATGTGGCAGCTTCACTTTCTAATAATAAATCAACGAGAACACTTTTCATCAATGGGTGTTCAATTAATTTTTTGCCAAATGCTTTTCGATATTTTGCATGCCACGTTGCTTGCATTAAACCTTGTCGCATGAGTGCTGCACTTCCCGTTGCAGCATCCAAACGAGTATGATGAACCATTTCAATAATAGCTTTGACACCATCATGTTCTTTACCTAGAGTGATAGTCTACTAAAAACATTATAGATAAAAAATTTTAATAATACCTAATAACCACCCATATGTTCCATTAAATTCAATTTCACTTGAGGCATTTGAACGATTTCCTAATTTATCTTTTAAACGTTGAATATAAAATGGATTACGTTCATTGTTTGGCAACCATCTTGGTACAAAGAAACATGATGGAATTCCAGATGATTTTTGGCCATCTTCTTGGATGTGAGCAAGAACAAGAAATCCGTCTGACATTGGAGCTGAACAAAACCATTTGTGACTAAAACAAAAAGTGAGATTGATATTGCAAAATTCTATTGGCTCGATATGAATGCTATTCTTACCCAACTAACACATAACGTTTGTCAGCACTGTTATCACAATAGGCACGTGTTGTATTTGCTCGAACGTCGCTTCCACCCTGCTTCTCCGTCATAGCCATTCCTAAGGAGATTTGTGTATGAATGATTTATTCACAAAGCTATCATATAGTTCTAACCTAATGTAAGACCTTGTTTTGTATGCGCTGGCACACAACGTTGATCATATTTTCTCGTTAAAAGTTTATCTAATGGAAAACTTTCATTTAAACTTTTACTAGAACAATGAAGATATCGATGAAGTACAGGAAATCCTGCATATGTCATTGATAGTGGACATAACACACCCGCTTCAATTTGAGTTAATAAATAAAGCGAAGCCTAGAATAAAAATAGAATAAAATAAAAATAATAATAAAATAATTGTTATTTAGACACGTACTGCATGTTGTAAATGTCCATGAGGATTAAACTTATCATTTTTAGATTCCCAAGCTACCGAATGAATACCATATTTCATTCCTATTTCCATAAGTTGATGATAGGATGGATGAAAATCTACTTCATCAATTCGATGACCATAACGATCGTGTGTTCGTAATACAGGTGTATATTGATTTGCCACACGTCCTTGTTCAAACCACTTATATGTGCCTAATTCAGCCCCAAATTTTCGCACTTCTCCACAATTGTCATTTGTTAGATATGTACGTAATGCTGCATCTTGTTCATATAAATCGACTTTTTCCAAAGGTGGTACTTGATTGTGTACTTCATGTGTAAATAAATGTTTCAATGGATTTTGTGCTGGTCTCAATTCAAGTGGTACATCATCCATATTAGAAGATTGTTCATTTGAAGACTCATTTACTTTATAGTTTGGCATTGTAACAATGCATCGATGTTGTAAAAAACATTTAAATAAACGTTGTCGACCATTTATCATCATCTTCATGGCAAATAGTTTAATCTATGAATTAAAAGGTTCGACAGTATTGTTTTCACAAATTTTTCCAAAGTCCATAATAGAATAGAATTATTGATAATTAAGAAGTCTTCCGAAAATTGTTCAAATAACAACTTTTTCAGCAGTCGAAGAAAACCTTTGTAAACCTCGAATTCATATCAAACTCTTAGTCAAATGTGGACAACACTCTGTTGTGAACAGATTAACGAATGAATTGATATTACCCCAAATCAATAAATTCAAATTCAAACTCAAACAACTCTATTTAATTGTTTTTTGTTCTCGTAGACATTTATATCTATTCTTTATTTCTAATTATGAATATATATAATCCACATATTCTGTTTTTCTTAGACTTTACGTAGATAAGTTGTTGTAACATCAACGATACAGACACAACCACAACAATAAAATACGGTTTGGAAAAAGAATGAGAAAAAAAGAAGAAAAGATGAATCGAAAAAGCTAACCTAACTTTGCCAAAATGGAAATAAAAGATAAAAAGAAAACATCAAAAGATTTTCTTTCACAAATATACATACAGTCACAAGAAAAACAATTACACAAAAAAAGAAAAAAAGAATAACCACTAAATGAAAACTATTAATGACTTTTAGATTATAGTTTTAGAAGTATCCTATTTAAATGAGTGACATATTTTCCTTTAGCTGAGGCAATGAATATATTATGGCACAAAAATAGAAACTAAAAAAAACGAGAGTAATACAACAGTTGTACAAAAAGGAACGAAAAACAACACATAATTTCAAAACATAATGTTGAGAAATTGAACAAAAATCAAAACATTTTTTTTTTGAACGATAGAGCAGTATCAGCACAGAAAAAACGAAGAAGAGAAGACGATTTTGATATCAAACTGACACTTGCTTGAAAACAATGGTCATCAATTATCCAAAGTATAATAGTTAGGAAAAAGTATGAGAAAAATGCATTAACAATATGAGATCGATATAAATTTGTAATGAAATAAAGAAAAAGAAAAGAAAGATGCGATTTCGACATGCTTAGCTCGGAATTAATGAATGAATGCTAAGCTACCTTTCTACATTCACTTTAACAGAGTGCGTATCAGACTGATATTTTGATTCTAAGGTTTTTGAGTACCAAAGAATCAAAGCGCGAATTATTTGTTTCGTCAATACAGAGAAGAAAAACAGACAAAGAGACACTAAAGACAAATAAAACAAAAAAAAAAAGTATTTTTAAATAAATTTTTAGACATACATAGAAGAAAGGAAGAAAATGGTAGGAAACAAATAATAATAACAACATGAAGTAAAGAGAGATGAGACAGACATACACAAAATAGAAGAAAAAAAAAATTTGAAGCTTGTTTCGGCGGTTACATAATTCGAAAGAAAATATATTAATTTGAAATAGCAGCCCATATTTTTAAAAATACATCTTTTTTACATTTTTTAGATCCTTTAACAAAATTAATTAAATCATTGTAACCATGATTATTTCCCTAGAAATAAAAAAAAGAGATAAATCATACATCATTTGAAATTTAACAAAATTATTTACATACCATTAAGAGAAATGCTGAACGTGCATTTTTCATTAGAGAGCTTATTTCTTCAATATCATTGTTTGTTGTTAAATGTGCCATACGTTGATGGACACAACGTGTATAACTATTCAAACATTTTTGCATTAACGGTTGAAGAAATGGTGAACGTAACATTTGTGCTGAACCAATTTGAGTTTGAGATAAATTATAGGATACACTAAATGCTAAGGCTTGGAGAAGATAGGGATTAATAATAGATGCGGTTGCACTATTAACAAAATCTTGTAATTCGGAGTTTCCTAAATGAAAATCAATAATAATTATACTCAGCAAACAATTTGATAAAAACAAAGTCTTTACTCACCTAATTTGAGTGCAACTTTTAATAACCATTTAACATCTTCTCCATGACGTGGTGTAGGACTATTTAATTCTCCACGACGTTCATCAATTGAACGACGAGCTAAAGTACTCATGGCCACCATTCCAACACGAAATGCGTTTACAAGATAACGTCGATGATTGGAGACATGCTAGAGAAAAAAAGAGAACAAACGTGAATTCATTGTGTAAAAATCATTATGGTCGCTCTTACTTCTGAAGATGCAGCAACTATGCTGGTATTGTTTATTACAGGAGTGAATGCTGGTGCGGCTGTAACGATTGTTGATTGTTGTTGTTGTTGTTGTTGTTCAGCGGTGTTTATTTGAGTAATAGGAATAGATCGAATATTATTATTCGAATATGAACCTGATGGTTGAGCGAGCAATATCGAAGAATTTGGCAGCTGTTGTTGCTGATGATGGTGATTTGAATAAACTTGAATAGGTATCTGATTTGCTGTATAAGATGTATGCATCGGGTACGTGGTTGCTTGCTGTTGTGTAGGAACGAAAACCTGGTGATTTTGATTGTAAGGAGATTGTGGCGGTGACTGTGCCGATGTTTGCTGTTGAAATGCCGTTGTAGGTAGAAAAGGTGCAGTTAAATATGTGTTTGTGATTGTTGTTTGAGGTTGTGACGAAAACTGAATTGGAATGGGAACAAATGGGAAATGAGGATACGGATGATAATTAATTGGGATTGGCGGTGGTAGAGACGTGGACTGGTAGATGTAATTGTTTGTGTGATTATTCTGACTATGATACGTATAATTATTTTGCATTGGGGCAGATGCATAAATCGGATATGAGGGCAGAATATCAACTGTATTGCACAAATCTACTGGCGCGTTATAATTTTGTTGTGGAACGTAATTTGTGTTGTTATTATTGTTCGTAAGGGTTATTGTCGAAGATGATGTTGATAAAGATGAGTTATCATTAGTATTGCTATTATTAAAACAATAATTTGCCGACGACGGTGTTTGTGTATCATCGTCACTGGTTAATGGATCACCCGTAGCATCATAATACATTTCATACCAACGTTTTGCTACATCAAACAAAACTTCCAAATAAACGCTTCCATCTTTACTCGCATTTTCAATTGTTAAACATGCTCGTTCTAGCATATCACCATTTTGTTCTTTACATTGTGCTAATGCTTGACGAATTTCTGCTGGATTCAATGCGTGGGCATATTGTAAACTACATAAGGCTAATTCAGCTGCAGCGCGTACACAGGCTTTATCTCGTCCTCTTGACGCTTTATCGGATGCTGTTGCACATTCTAGCGGTGTTAAATGACCTTCCCAACATTCGATAAGTATCAAAATCGCTTGCAAACCAATATCAACTGCTGTACTTGTTATCCATGATACTAGACTACTATAGGTGCGAACCATCCAATTAGGATGAACATGATTATTTACACCTAATGCATAGAGTGCAATTGTAAATGCGCACAAGTGTAAATTTCGATGTGGTGGTGTAGTGATATGTGGAGTATTTTGAAACAAGGATGTTGACGTTGTTCCACCAGCTCGTTGTACAAGTACTTTAGCTAGTTCGAACATAAAATGTGATAATGCTTCGGATGGCTGATTTGGTATACATGGTGACCGAGTTTTATGTTTCGATTTCATTGATGTATTTGAAGTTAGTATCTTCTTTGTGTAAGCCGTAGTTGTCTCAATCACGTTCGTAGGACAAAAAATTGGAGCATATGGAGTTTGGGATGAGTCATTCGTTGTGATCAACTCTGTGTTCACTACAGGTTTCGCAGGTGATTCATTGCGTACTAAAAAAAGGTAGAGAAGATCAGTCAGACTAGATTAATTAAAATATCGCAACTTTTCTACCATTTCGATGTATTGTATCCCTCTCACTATCACTTTCAGAATCAGCATTGGCTTTCGAAGAAATACGTATGTTACGGCGCGATATTGTTGGTGAATTATCGCTTGAATTTGTTTCTGGGGCGCTGCTATCAATACTTGTAAAACCTTCAAGAGAAACAAAGAAAACAAACAATGAATCCAAAAACGTTTTACCAGGTAAACACTCTTTACTCACCGTTTGATATTCTCTTTGAACTATTTTTCAAATTCAAACAGCGAAATTTTGCTTCCCAAGCTTTTTGATCGAAATTTTCGCCTTCACTTTCGTCCAAACCAGAACTATCAATTTCAGCAGCTGCTGATGTCTTTTTATGTTCTTGACGATTTGCTACTGCATCATCAACGCCGTTCGTATTATCATTATTTTGGTTCAAATGAGTAGAAGATGCAGCAGTAGACGATGTTGCTGTTGATTGTGCATGTAATTTTTTCGAACCAATATTAAACGGATTTGTATTTGGGTTTTTGAATAGTACATGTATATCACGATCAAGTAATTTTTCTAATATTTTTATTAAACGTGTTTGATCATCTTTGTATAAAGTCAATAAATTCAATGCTAAATCGCTGCGTTGCCGACGAATGCCTTCGCACAATATTGGATTTTGACCTAAGCGGAAACGAAACGCAAATTGATATTAATCTTTTTATATGTTAAGCACCCAATGAATACTAAATACCTTCAGAAACATAAGTTTTTGATCCTAAAGCGGAAATAGCTGCATCAAAACCAAGTAATTCGTCATTATCATTTGCAGAAGCAGTAATTTGTTGCTGAACGATATTCGTCGTTACGAGTGGACTTGACAAATGATCATTAAAACAAGTTGCATAATTTTGCTGTATGATATCACTAGTATAAGATGTACAACCAAATTGTTGTTGCTGAGTATTTAGAGTACGTACACCTCGAGATAAACTCAGCGTTCTTAAAGTTTCAAATATGTAAGTAGCTAAACTCAACGGTAATAGTGCATTATCGCGAGTGTAGGTAATGCCATTACGTATTTTTTCAGCACGCTCTTTTAACATATTTATTTCATTTGAGCCTAATGTTATTTTTTTCAATTCATGACATATCTCCTGTTCACAGTTTAAGAGACGAACCTAGTTAACACAAAAAAGTGATGTGGTTATCTATATAAAGAAAAGAAACTAACTTCAAGTGCTTTT